GGGATTTGGTCTGGCAAGTGCTTGCCCTAATGAGAAAGCACAAGCTGTTCCTCAAAGCTGAAAAGTGCGAATTCAAAGTAACAGAGACAGAATATCTCAGAGTAATCATCAGCAAGGGGAGTATCCAGATGGACCCAGTCAAGGTTGCAGGGGTGGTTGAATGGCTAGAGCCGACGAAGAAGAAGGAGTTGCAATTGTTCCTTGGGTTCACCAACTTCTATCAACGATTCATCCACAACTATAGCAAGATTGTCTGACCTATGACCCAACTTACTGGTAATGCCCTATGGAGGTGGGGAAATTCCCAATGTCTTGCATTTGCTGATCTAAAATGGTGATTGGCTGAGGACATTGTCCTTGCCATACCATCCCAGGAAGAGAAATTCCAAGTAGAGGCTGACTCCAGTGAGGGAGCAATTGGAGCAGTACTATCTCAAGAGCAGGAAGGGAAATGGCAGTCAGTCGCATTCCTCTCAAAAGCATTGACCACGACAGAGAGGAACTATGAAATTTATGACAAGGAGCTACTGGCAATAATGCTCGCCCTCAAAGAATGGCGACATTACCTGATCGGAGCCTCTGAAGTTTTTGAGATCTGGACCAACCACCAGAATCTCAGATACTTCCAACAGCCACAGAAATTGAACTGACGACAGGCCCAGTGGGTCATGGAGCTTATGCAATACCAGTATACACTACATCACAAAGCAGGAGCAGCAAACAAAAAAGCTGATCTCCTGTCCTGACATGCTGACCATGATCAAGGAGGGAACAATAATATGGGAGTCACCATCCTTCGGCCTGAGCATTTCTGAGCCATGATAATGCCCATGGAAGAAGAAATTCATGAGTGGATCAAAAGTGTGACTCAAGACACTCACAAGTGGGATCAGAGAATCGCACCTTCCCTCAACCATGAAAGAGGAATGTGAAAGGAAGAGGGGATGATCCATTACAATGGAAGGATTTATATCCCAAGGGATCAAGGACTAAGAGGGGAGATCATAGCCACCTGCCATGATCATGCAACAGCAGGACACCCAGACATTGCCAAAACCAAAGAACTTGTTTTACAAGAGTACTGGTGGCCCAAAATGGGGAACAACATCATGACATACGTCAAAGTATGCGAAGTTTGCCAGAGGGGGAAGGCTTCAACACAACCACATGCAGCACTCCTCCACCCAAATGAGATCCCATCAGCCCCATAGACCCACATTTCAGTCAATATAGTTACCGGATTACCCAAATGCAATGGATATGATGCCATCCTTGTCATTGTTGATCGATTCTCTAAAGCCATCATACCGATCATGTGCTTAACAGAATTAACCTCGGAAGAGTGGACAAAAATCCTGCAGGATGAGGTATATGCCAAACACAAAATGCCTCAAGTAGTCATCTCTGACAGGGGACCACAATTTGTATCCAAGTTTCTTGATGACTTATACAAATTACTAAACATAAGGTGGAATGCCTCTACCACATACCATCCACAAACCGATAGGCAAATGGAACAGGCAAACCAAGAGATTGAAAAATATCTACACCTCTTTATTAACTATCGACAAGATGACTGGGTTGAATGGTTGGTGCTTGCAGCATTCCAGCATAACAATTAGGTCCACTCGGCTACAGGGCAAACCCCATTCTTCATCAATCATGGATGACATCCTAATGTCCCCCAATCCACATGCCACCAAACCACTATGCCCACATCAACAGACTTCACCACTGACATGACCAAAATCCATGCAGAAACCAAAACCGCTCTTGAAAAAGCTGCAGCAACAATGAAAAGCCAATATGACAAGCACCAGTGGCCAGCTCATGTATATGCAATAAATGAGAAGGTTTGGTTGGACACAATGAACCTGCACCTGCCACAGCCCAAAAAGAAGCTGGCCGACAAATGCATGGGCCCCTTCCCTATTATCTCAAAACTTGGGGAAAGTGCCTACAAACTCCACCTGCCACTCAGTTGGAAGGTTCATGATGTTTTCAATGAAAGCCTCCTCTCCCCATACATCGCCCCTGCTTTCCCCAACCAGGGATGCCCACCACCACCCCCACCAGACTTAATTGATGATGAGAAGCATTACAAAATCGACCAAGTCCTTAACCACAAGCTCTGAAAAGTCAAGGCAAAGGGCAGGGGGATGACAACAATGGTGGATTACCTGGTCAGCTGGAAAGGGTATGGCCCTGAATCTAACCAGTGGGTAAATGAAAAACAAATGTCAGCAGACGATGCCATACACGACTATGAATTATCTCTAAATTAAGCCATTGGGATGATGGTCTTAAGGAGGGGGTAATGTTATGATTTTCCCCTTTCCACTATGGTTTTTACCCCTATTTATGCTTAGTCAGGAGGCACAAGATGGTGGGAAGGCTTAGTTGTCATAACTAACCACCCATCAGTCAACCTAGACAATCATGCTCAATGACCCACAAGCATCCTTTTATGTATGACAACAACAACCAAGCACAATTGAGCACCATGGACACAGACAGACACAATTAGTGGTAGTATTATTAGCACAACTTATACAGTATTTAAGACTCATCGCTCTTGCTGAGATACCCCAGCTTCGAGCTAAAGTTTATATTCACCATTCTACCTTGAGTCAATACTTGACCTTGAGTCACTCTATACAGATTACACAATCAAGTGGACTTGGCTGATCCCTCGAAGTGTGAAGGGACACCCATTTACCATGTGGATTTGTACATGTGATGCTTGGGCCTAACAGCCATTACCATGGCAAAAATCCACTCAGAAACTAAAACTGCCCTTGAGCAGGCTGCAGTTGCTATGGCATGACAATACGATAAACATTGCTGTCCAGCACACACATATGCCACCAATGGCAAGGTTTGGCTTGATACAAGCAACCTCCATCTCCTGTGGCCAAAATGCAAATTAGCCAACAAGTGCACTGGCCCCTTCTCAATAATCTTCAAAGTCAGGGCTGGTGCTTACAAGCTCAAGCTACCAGCCACATGGAAAGTCCATAAAGTCTTTAATGAGGCATTATTAACCCCATACATTGCCTCAGCATTTTCCAATCAAGAATGTCCACCACTGCCACCTCCCAACCTAATCAATGACAAAGAACACTATAAAATTGATCAAATTCTAAACCACAAACTATGAAAAATCAGGGCAAGGAGTGGTAGTATGACAACTACCATGGATTACCTCATGAGCTGGAAGGGCTACAGCCCTGAATCTAACCAGTGGGTCAATGAAAAGCTGATGGATGCCAATGATGCCATACAGGACTACAAATTATCCCTTAATTAAGCTATCAGGACAATGGTCTTAAAGAGGGGGTAATGTTATGATTTTCTCATTCTTTTCCTGTTTTAACCCCTATTTATGCTTAGTCAGAGTGCTAACACAGGTGCTTAAGACCATGGGACATGGCTCAATCATCACAACAGACCAAGTTCATCATTGTCTTTTGATGCAACAGCATTGCTCAATGATGCATAATCATTCAATTATGTACAGTAGTGATACTCAAGGACAATGGGCACAAGAGACTCAATGATGCACAATTAGTAGTAGTATATTTAGAACAGGACATGTACAGTATTTAAGAGGCTCGCTCTCACTGGAATCCCCAGCTTCAAGCTAAAGTTTATTCTATCTCATTCTATACTAGAGCCAATCCTAGGCCTTGTGACACACCAGACAGAATATGCATTCAGTGAACTCAGTTGATCACCTGAAGTGTGAGGTGATGCCTGTTTATCACATGTATCTGCTCATGTGACACTTGAGTCTAACAACTCCAGAACCTTCTTGTCATCTATCTCACTCATATGTCTCAAAGCCAAGAGGTCAACTATTCTGTGATGTGAAGCTTTTTCCTGCTGTACACTCTGAGCCAATGTCAGTTTGGGAAGACTAAAATTGTTGTATGATCATGTTTGAAAAATTTGAATTCATTTTGGTAATCATCTTTGGGCAGGTCTGAATAAGTCATGGAAATTCTGAATGATTTTATGCAGACTATACATCAATGAGTGTTTACACTGAATCTACCCCTCAGGGTCCAGGCATTTGATAGTTATGAAATTTAATGATGATGCCAGACTGGGGAAAAATAATTAAGTAAAATAACAATTTGATTAAGGTCAGAATGTACATCCAAAGACAGGAATCTGTGTAAATCTGCTAAGGTGCTGGTGGGTGACATAATGAAGGTGCTGCAGCAACCCTAGGGTAAGAACACTGGACATGAGGGCAACACACTCTGCCAACCCATGTCTAATAGTCAATTCAGCCTTTTAGACTGGTTGTAGAACTGTCAGCTAAGGGCCTCATACCACTGGCAAGAAGGTGTTTTCAACTAAAGGAGTTGTGGCCATCATCAATTCTTCAGGATCTTTTCACCATCAACAGATCCTGTTAGAAGTCAACTAAATGACATTGAAGCCTCTTCAGACAGAGCTAATTAGAAAATCATGATTCATCATACCATAGATTATAAATGCAACAAAGAAGCCACAAGCGCAGCCAACTCCTTTGATGTAGGATCGTTAATATTCCATCTCCGGCATTGAACACCTGGTCAATCTCAGGTCCAAGTGTACTTTTTGATACCACATACCCTGCTGGTACCAATATAATCAGCCTTGTGCACTCGGTCTCCTTCCATTTTGGCTATTGGCAACTAAATAATGAAATTTGAGTTAAGAACGGAACGTACCAAAAACGGTAGCATCTTTGGCTGAGAATTCAGTGTCGACGGAAAGCATGAGATGCGCACTACACTCAGATAATATACTTTATATCTATTTCTTTTGATCGTGTAGGACACTACAAAATACTGATAAGCAACATCCGGAGGAGGTTCTTTTCGACAAGGGGCTTACCGTTGTGAGAGAGTGTGTGTTTCCGGATCCCAAGTGAATCGAAATTCCTCGATCTTGGGGTAAATTATAAGCCTTGATCTCACTGATTATGTAGCTGAGAGACACAGAAATCATGAGGAAAGCCCTTTAACGACCCCGGAAAATGCACACCCTGATATATTCCATTGCTGGGAGCTCAGCAGCAGCAGCTGCCACAGTTATTATTACGAGGGTAGCAAAATACAAGGATGCTATGTCCCCATAGTTCCTTCATTGTCGAGCAGTCGTCCTCGTGGGCAGTAGTGGTGGTTTGCGAGGGGAAAGGCGAATTGAATTTTTTTCCGCTTTTCGACGAGCCTCGGTGCTTGGGCGGCACTTCGCTTCGCCGATGTTTTCGTTTCCTGTCTCGATTTTGTATTGAGAAAAGCGAAACATTGTGAAGGGCATATCGATCTCGGACTACTGAATTTATGCTATACCTAATTATCTACAGCCGTCGGTGCAGCAGTGCAAAGGCTAGGTCATTGAAAGCTTACTGTGGAGGCATGATAGCCTAGGACGTTTCGAGTCGGTCTTGTTAATCCAAATATCAGAATGCGGAGTTGGAGAGGTACAGTATGCAGCAGACCTTCGGCTACTAGATAGCCAAGTGAAGTGGTTCCAGGAGGACGCAATTGGGGGACCCGGGAACTCATCTCACCACCAGTTTAGAGACCAGCACTTGGAACACCTCGCTTTTGAGGAAGGCATCTCGTCCGTAATTAATTTTTCTGTGTTGTATCACATTATAGCTAATTCAATAGATATACAGTACAAAACGGATTTTTTCTCAGAATTCACAATGGGGCGCTCAGAGATACCTTTGAACGATCCACCTTGTCATCCAAAGAATGATGATCGCCCTGACTCTCAGTGAGTGAATTCAGTGGAATGCCAAAGCTCTGGAAGCCAATATTCTGAACGAAACACTAGTTAAGAATTTAACTCCGTAACGAGGCTTTTGAACATACGGATTCTTCTGGAGTTGCTTGGGAACTCTGAGGTGCGATCCGGAGGGTTGAATTGACTTCATAGTCTGACTTTGCCTTGTTCGATTTGTGTTCGCGCCGGTAATTCAGCCTAGCAAAGGTAAGTTTCAGGTAAACATCTTGAGAAGATGAATTACATAGCAAGCAGGGAATTGACGTAGACTGTGAATGAATTCGTTAGCCATTATCAGAAGGTAATAGAATACACCGACGTTTAGATAGGACGAAATGAATTCCTAGGAAGATCAGAGACTCTGGCCACACGATATACTGCAGACAGCTGTAAGATCTTGGATCAGGGTCGATTAAAGATACACGGACCGCGATGAGAGTAAATAGAGAGCATGCACTGCCATTTTCTTCAGATGCAACATGGACAAGATCAAAGCGAATGTCCTCACCTGGTAGCTAACCCTGATATGAGAATAAGCCGCATTAGACGGAGAAGTGTGGCGGACGTTCTGAAAGAGTATATCAACCCGAAGGCAAAGGTCTCGGCAAGGAAATAATATACGAGGAGATCATTGTAACTCCTCTGCTCTTGTGCAGGTAATAGCACATCATTGCGGCTATTATGAAATCCGCCGCGGCGATTGTGGAGCAATAGGTGTAAATCGATCTCTGTATTCTTTTTTTGAGTATCCCCGACCGTACAGCGTACATACATCACATACCTTGATAATGGAGGCCGATGCGAGATTTGGGACATGAAAACTGCGAGGGATCATTTCAAATGGTGCATACGGCTACAAATGTTCGCTTACATATCATAGACTATAACTGTAGATTCCTGTCAGCGCGATCAAAACGAGTGAGCCAATGATTTCTTACATATCCCAGCACCTGGATAAATCAGAATCAGAAAAATCATCGAGAGAAGAGAGGTGACTGCTACCAAGCGAAGCTGTCACGGTGACAAACTGGCTAGTAATAAGCGGGTGTAGGACGCGGGAGAATTTATTGGGGTGCTTACGACAAAGCGTGGGAGAATTTTGTGAAAATGGCGTCCCACTACGAAAAGATTCAGCAATGCTAACATGAACCACAACTACCTCAAAACACGAACGTTTCCATAGACGGATAGCATATACCCTAATAAAACAACAAGTCTGCATTAGTCACTTCAGAGTAACGGCATCCTCGAACCATTGAACGAATACGACGAGCATGTCCTAGGAGGAACAGCGTTGAAATTTTAAAAAAGCGCCAATACACTATGATAACACACATTGACAGACAACTGCAACTGAGTATACCGTTAGGTAGGTTCATTATCGAAAATCAAGAAAATCACCTGCATGCTCCTGCAACAACGAATCTTCAATTAGTTCAACGTCGTGCATCTGCTCGAGAACTCACCGCACAGTAGTTTCTAGGGCGCGGAGTAAATCCCCGTACATATCAATCAGAAAGACATATAGGGCATATGTGCTCAAAGCGACATGTAGAGTATCGAGGATCCTGTCACAGGTTAGTCGCCACCCCCCCGATAGGCGAATGAATGAGCGAACCAAAGCATCCCTACCTGTCTCATTGGGTTTAGTGTGAAACAAACCAAAAGGAATAACGACATACAGAATAGCGATAGAGCCACCAATCGTCGGGGTATCTCTTGTAGTACATGACAGCTTGTAGATTCGTAATGCCGAATAAACTATCAAATCAGTGAATAGGCAGTTTTTCGTAAGGAAGGAATGTCTCCTACACGGCAGCTAGTATAGCTCCCACATAGAGAGCGCCGAACGTATCTTGGATGGTAGGCAACGCCGAAGTCATTGCGGGTTATGAACCCGGTGTGGAAGAAGCTGTGGGACGTTATGTTTGGCTTATATTATATAATGGGTAAGCAGAACCATCACGGCACCACGACCAATTCCAAATCAACTTACTCAGTGTCAACGGGACCACATCTTGCTTCTTGATGTCGTGATCTCAATGTTGAAACGCAAGATCGGTCGCTGCTGTTCAAACTTCTCAGAGATGACTATCAGAGCCAGTTATGACGAGGGCATGGGAAGCAAGTTGTGTACCCGTGATTTGTGGATGATCAAATTATGACACCACCGGCAGCGTCACAGGTTGATGAGGGTAGGTGGATACGTATGCCCAGCGTCTTCGGAATCGCGGAACTCAGCCTGATTTCGACCATCAGAAAAGAGATCAACAAAACACCTGCACTCAATCATAGAAGAGCAAACCGTATCTGCGATATCAAAGAAAGGTAGGAGGTATCAAAGATGACAAACAGTTCATGTGGTCACATCAAACCTTATGACTGTCTGGCGGTGCACAGCGCTCACAATTTTATGTCTCGCACAAATTTTGAAAGGCAAGTCCCTCCAGGTGCCCGACAAATCATCAAGTTATCCTTATTGTACTCTGCCTAGCTTTGGATCCACTATAGATAAACGGTAAGTTATACAGGATAAAAAATTCTCCTCGGAACTCTACCTGTTTATAATACACCATCCATCATACCTACACTATGGTGAACTCGACTCTCGACCGCTTATCCCCGACGATTTGAGACGAGTCTTCCTGATTTTGCGAAGGACCGCTACCACGGATCTCAGAGAGAGGTATGCTGAACCCGTCGTACTAGCATGTTATTGAGTAAATAAGCTTCGTCCGGAAAGATACCCGTACCTTTATATCTCCCGCGCTAACGCACCCGGTAGTCGGCGTAAGGCGTATTACATTGGAGAACGATGTGGGTTCCGACGAAATCGCACCACTTCCGGTGTTTTTCCCTTGGATTCGTTTTCGAGCATTCAACCTAGGTATCAATTTCAATAAGTCCCATGGAAGAAAAGGCGATGACAACACACATAGAGAGCAGGGAGTTGACGTAGACTGTCTCATGAGATGATTGATAATCTATCTCTTGACGATGATCAATCACGTACGTTTTGTTAAGAGAAATTCGACTCCGAGAAAGACGAGGGTATTGGGGAGGGTGATGTACTGAATAGACCATGAGGTCCTCGCTCAAAATAGGTTCTGAAAACTTGCGGTGATGAGTGCAACGGTCGAGCATGCACTAACATTAAATTAAAGGCATTCGTGAGTTCCGAATACATCGGATAATGGGTCATATCCTTACCTAGTCGCCAAGCCGGACATGAGGACAAACCACATCAATACGAGCAGCCGTGAGTTCGTACTACCGAAACCAGTTCATTAGTTCAGCTCTGACACATACTGGATGCCATTGCTTTCACCTCGAAAACTCTGAAATTGAACGACTCTTGTGAAGGTAATAACACATTGCGAACGATATGAAGAAGTCGATCCCGGTGGATGCGGCGAAGGCGGCGTCGATGGCCCACTGATGATTCGCGGTTATTTTTAGCGAAAAAAGATGTACATTGGAGGTAATACTTCCACTCATTGAGGCCAAACCCGTGAACGTTGTGATGGTATATCTGCTGACGACCGCATAAGGCTTTGAGCGGATATCAGAGATTCGGCGAACGAACGTTTTGTAGACGAGCACTAGAGGCGCGCACTGAGTGCATCATTCGGTGCCTATAGAAGCAGGTACTCACATATTCCCACCGCTGAAGGAGGAAATATTAATGTATAAGAAAAGAAGTAAGGATTGAGGTTCTGAGACGTGCAACCCACCAAATCCGCATGCGACCACGAATATCTACAGAAGGACGGGCGAGATCAGAAAAGGCCGCAAGTCGCTGGAATGAGATCAGACATACGACAATCCAAGGAAGGAACCGATGGAAATGGCGCCCGACTGTGTGGGTAGCGTCAGTGGGAATGTGCGAGTTTACGGATGACCCACATTTCCATAGGCGGACTGCGTAAAGACTGCGAGAGACAGAGTGAGTTGGGATAGGGTAGAAGGAAAGAAATTATGATACCTCTGAACGAATACGATAATAACGACCTGTCATAGTGTCAATGAGCGTACTGGAGATCGACGGTGACTGACGTTGACGAGAATCTGAAGCTGCCGAAAGACAACGGAGATCAATATCAATTAAGGAATATGTCGATTGGAAGCGTACTTTGAAGCTCCTGAGAATCAAGCACATGGTTAGGAAGGTATGGGGTTAGAATGGAAATGAGAGCGAACCATACGACGTTCCCCAATGTAACATAATCGCCGAACGAATCCACGGTGTAGTGATATATAGCATGGATAGTAAGACTGAGGTGCAGTGCGTCGAGAACCCTTCAACGAGATGATTTGAATGCGCTAGTGTCACTCCTATAAAGACATACCAGAGTATACCAACCTGTGAGAAGTACGACGTGAATCGAGGTAAGGACGTGGGACAATTATTTACGCACAGAATAACGATAAAGTCTCCAATCATCCGGATACTCTCGATAGTAGATAAAGACCTGCAGGACTGTGATACCAAATAGCCTGATCCGGGTGATAGGTGAGGGTCAATGATCGCAGAATCGGTAAAGAGTCGACATACAAAGATGAGAGCATTGCGCCAATGTACGCAGCGCCAATCGTCATCCCCAGAGAGGGGACTATGACTGCCACCGAATTCATGGTAGTGGTAGGAAAAAAGAAGAGAAAGGCAATTCCGTAACGGCAGACCCGTATGAAAGTTCATATCCTCGCGAATCGCGCAGATGATTTGTTCCGGAAATCACTTCGGGACTAGTCTTGATCAAAGATGCTGCGTCAGTCACACCCGGCGATGTGGGATTTAGGCTCTGGCATTTTCCTATTCATGAACGCAGGTGGATGAGCGAATACGAAGGTACTCGATAATCCCTGGTTGACTAGGATGAGACCACGACGCAGATTACTGCGGACTGGTATGAATATCGAACCTCATCTGAACAGAACTAACACAGGGCCGTTAAGGCGTCTCTTTCAATCAGTTCTCGATTCGGTATCAGTCACTGGCTGGCTGCTTACCAATAAGGATTATGCATATGCCACCTATTGTAGCCGTTCCTGACCCACGCGGTGGAAGCTGTCCTAATATAATATGAAGCAAGGAAGCCGTCGAGTAAGGGAAAATGGAAACAAAGACGTTGTGAGAAGTTAAAATAATGAAGACAATAGAGGTCGTTAGCACGAAGTTCCTCGGAGCCGGATCCGTAGCCGAGAACCTCGTTAGTCGGTGATTCTACCGCCTTTGCATCAATCCTCATGGTTCGCGGGCAGAGCGAGATGATTAATTGACCGGAAGTCGTTCTGGTGAGTAGATGGTAGAAGTACATCACATAGACCGTGGAACGAGGGAGTTCGGCTGCATCATTCTATATCTATGGAATTGATAGTTGAAAGCAACGGATACTGTCATCAAAGGACATACTGATCATATATTGAGATTATCACGGCAAGTTTCGTTATAGATGGTATGACGCATAGGGCTTCAGCGGTACAACTTTGGGGCATTACATACATATGCCATTGTTTAGCAGGCTCAACAAAGACGGGAGGCACTTTCGCATAATGTCAAGACTCCAGAATAGGTCACCTTCGAAAGCGAACCTTAGAAGTGACGTTTGAACCAGGTCAAATGAAGGCGAGATAATGAATATTTTCTAGCCAGGTTGAGCATACGACATTTGCAGGGGTTTCGATACGGATTCTAAAACACAAACGCCAGTCAGACGCGAGATACATGTCACGAAGAAAAGATGGACCGTGACGGGTAAGTCAGCGACGGCGCCTTCCCTTGAGAGATAACACACTAGAGAAGAAGATATAAGTCCGCAACAACAAGAAACCTTCTTTCACCTACCAATGGCTAATGTGGCTCCATTATAGATGCGGCCCGAGTCATAACGACAGCGAATCAACAGCGAACCGAACAAGAGGGTAGACACAGCCACCGCCGAATTCGTGCATCACAACCCTAAGGTCCTTACTGATGTTTTACGAAATGCTGTCTGCCTGTTTCTCCTCCTACGCCATTTTCACAAAATTCTGTCATGGTTCGCTGTAAGAGCTTTCAATCATTCGAGCCTCCTTCTCTCGTTTATTATTCGACATTTCTTGACAGTTGCAACCTCGCTTGGTGATAATATCATACCTTTCGCGTCGAGTATCTGTTTCATTGTGTTTCGTTTACGTGCAGGGATATGTAAGACATTATTCGCTCTCTCGCTCTGATGGCGCTGAAAAAAATTGCACAGGCTTTCGTCTATGACATGTAATAGAACTCTTTGTAGCTGCGATGCATGTGCCTCATCCAATGATCTTGGACAGTTACATTACACAGAACTTCTCGACTGTTTCCTATACTGGTGTATGTAATTAGTCCGGAGTTTCGGAAGTTGTAGATACTGAAATGAAATGATGTAGCTCCCAACTTACATCTTCACCACGATTGTCATAGATTATAGCACTCTTGATGTGCTACTACCTGCACAAGAGCAGAGTAGCTATGAATTTCTCTATGTGTGTGGTTTATTTCCTGCACTTTCGAGTTATCATTGATATACAAATACTAGAACGGCCGCCCTGCTTGTCCGTCTAATGCGACTTGTTATCATATCAGGGTTGGCTACAAGATGAGACATCTGCTTTGTTCTTTCACATGCTGTAGCTATGAAAATAAAGTGCATGCTCGCTGCTCGCTCTCATCGCGGTCCGTTGTCTCTCGGCTACATCCTCATCCCTAAATCTCACGAATACCTATAGTACATCGTGTTTCCACACACTTTGATTTTCGTCGGGATCGATTTTATCCCACCCAAGCGTATGTATCATTCATTGCCTGCCACATGAAATAGTTAAGGAATACATTTCTGGTTTACTTCAACTCTCTCCCTGCCATGCGCATTTTCCGGCTCTTCTCGAGGTCATTACGTCAAACTCACCTTTTCTAGGTTCAATTACAGACGTCAGAATAAGTCAACCGCAGAGCATGGAGGACTCGAGGTAAATTCAGGTTACAGAGTTACTATCCTCCTGTTTGCACCTGGAAATTCCGGAGGCTCTATTGCAGAAACGGTACACAAACTACTGTAGCCATGTCTTTGAATTCTTACAGAATGTTGGTTCCAGAACATCAGTATTCCGCTCCAGGATACCCGTTCATTGAATGGTACGCCAAAGAGACCTCTTGATTGTCATGTCTGAGAGATGATTTTTCACGTTGTACTTTATATTTACTTGAGACGAATTCATGTATTCCCAATAGTGCCAGTTTTGATGCACGCACAGATTGACTCAGAGAAATCCGCTGCTCAGAGAATATATGGTGGACCATGTACTCGAGTCGTAGGACCTGAAGGATATGCCGTGGATATGATTAGAGGAGGACGTCCATATATGATGACTTGAAACTATTCCGACTCACCGGCCACTATGCTCGTGATGGTCGGAGAAAAAATTACACAGCCACCTCTGAATTCGGTCGCAACCCACCCTGGTCCCCAACCTCCATTGGGGCGGCAGGCTATATCATTGCCCATGACATCAGACACAAGGATTCCAGATCACGCGAACAAATATGATGTGCGATTACACCACCATGTTCTGCTTCAGCTCGTGACGCCAACATGATAATCAGGTATCCCTTGTCCTGGGATATTCAGAACGTCAGATTTCTGACACAGGACAGCCATTATGCTGAGCACATGAGACAGGTAGCACTACCCTGGTCCATTTTTTCATGCCCCCGTCGCGGCGACTTGGAGGAATTAATATGTTCCTTGATGCTCTTCACGTCGGTTTGACTACGCATTGCTCTGTATTTCTATCTGGTCGATATATTCAGAAATGTAGAAGGCTCCTTGGTGCATAGCGTGTGGTGCGTTTCCTGTCAAAGGTTCGGTCTCAAAATTTCTCAGGAGGTATGGTGCAGGAGCTTCAAGGTGATTATCGTGAATCGCTATGACAAAGGACGAACTCAGGTACAGCTGGGTTTAAACGTGAGTCAATAGGCTGGATATCTTGTTTGATCTGATCAGCGTTCCTCCAAGGAATTGATCGTCACATATGTCCAAGCGTATGAATTATACCTTGATTTAGAAGTGTCTCAGTGCCAGTGATAGTCGCGGGATCTAGCATGAACAACGTAGAAGTACGGTAAAGATGCTCTTAAAATCTCAGAAGGACCGTACCGCATCCAAAGCTCCCAGCGCCTGGATTTTTCAGTTCCTTGAAGGGTTCTCCTTAACTGTTCTCTCACTAACCAGGTGACAGCCATTATCGACATTGAAGATCTGGTAAATATGTTTCTTGAATATAGGCGATATCATTGCCTGCCAGTCCTCGAAACGTTGTTTATGCGCCTTTGCTAGGGCCCTATCGCATTGGACGCTAGAAAAACGTGGGTATATGCTATGCCATCCAGACGTGGCGCGTGTCTACGGTTTTCATCGAAGTCCAATGCTTATTTTCGTACTGTAGGCAACGCGTATCAGTCTCACGTCCGTTCGACAAAGTCTGCGTTTTTAGCGCCCTAGAAAAAGATAGATATATCCTATGCTCCCTGGACCCGGTGCGTGTCCAACAAGTTCTCTCGATACGGAATTCATATTTTCGTACTACAGGCAACACGTATCAGCCTCCACAGTCGTTCGAGAAAGGGACTTTCTTCTTATCTACTGATCCAATCCAACTCGGCGACGGGAGGCGTGCAATTGCTACTGTGTTCCTCTAATTCTCCCAACTCAGAGCGATCTGCTACCTGTGGCCAGCAAAGTCGTCTTGTCAATGCGCGCAAAGCCAGCACATCTCTGGCGCCACACTGTAAGGCCTGCAGGCACAACCTGCACTGCAGTCTGGGGAGTTTAAGAGGCGTCGATCGCCAGAGTACTCGACATTGTACGCCTCATCTGGAACACATTAAAAAGCTCTGCTTTAAACGCCGCACATGGTATGCACATTTTACAAGGATTTTCCCCTTTTGTGATCTCCTTTTAGCGCCTGTGTTTCGTTTCTCTCGCAAGGTTCCCATTCCGAACTCGACCCGAGCTTTATCTGCATTCGGTGGACGCCGCTTCGAATCCACTATCTTCAACATCAGCAGTCTTCTATGATGATTATCCAGGACGATGCTTCTTTCATGGTAGCTTTCGGTGATGACATGTCCTCCAGTGGGAGCGGCGAGCTGGTATAATGATCAGTCGGTCAGAAGGAAATGAGATCATATTGCAAGTGGAAGATGTTAGGATGCAGTGGAAGAATTAGTGAGTTACGGCAGCGAAATAAACGTAGACTTAGAAGGAAGACCCTTAGTCGATATAATCGCTCCAGATAGAGGAAGGATATCGTAGGATAGTAGACGCCGAAACATTAATGTCCCCCCACCGGCACCTGCATCAAGCCTAATGCCGTGCTTCACGGCATTATGCTGCAGATCAGAGAAAAAGATAGGCCCAGCTGCTGTCAAATCCGGACCACAACTGTAACCGTATCATCGCTCCGCTACTACCCTTTTCTACCACTCCCCAGTCGGCAAATCAAAAAATCGAATGCAAGCACAAGTCCAGACAGACTACACTGAATCGGCATTGCATACATGGTACGGTACTTGCAGGAGTAAGTCAGTCGTGCATCAGATCCTATCACATAGAAGCACCAGACCGGGTTACACGAAGCTGTTCATTTTGTACAATGGCAGGCATGTTTCTAACGGTGAATCATCCCCTACAATGAAGCATTGATGTAAAATGTAGGAAGTCGGCCCGGTTTACTGGTCTAGAATCTCTTCCTTTGTCTTACCTCGGTAAAGCACTGCATGTCTTCCCCAATATGCATGTCTTCCCCAATACATGTATCGTTTGCCGAACTTGACGGGTTCTCACAGCTTACTTCATCTAATAAAGGCAGGATGCTTCCTATGTCGTCACTATACTTACTTCTGGTCGTCTTACTCTTGAGGTATGTGGAATGCCAACTTTGGAACTCGAATCGCAGTACTGAGACACCAAGCTTCCTCCACACGCAATGTCTTCGGCTCCTCCAACAACCCAGGACATTCTTGGCGCCCTCTACGTTGGCGCTATCATAGCCGCCGTGTAAGCGACCTTCCTTACTTGCGAAAATGTCTTTTAATTGGTTTGATAGTTTATTCGGTATAACAAATCTACAAGTGGTCATATATTACAAGGATTACCCAAATGACTGGTGGCTCTATCGATATTCTGTACGTTCAAGTTCTTTCAGCATTGGAATTAAGCTGAGGCTAATGGTACAGGTGGTACTGCTTTGGTCCGCTCATTCATGACTATCCGAATGGATGGTGGAGATTTATTACTGCCAAAAGGGTCCTAGATCTTCTTCATGTCGCTTTAAGCAGCCATGCGCTGTACTTCTATCTGATTAATATATATGGCGATTTCGCCGCTGTGATGGAAAATAATACGTGGTACGTTATCTTGTAGTGGAAGTACGACTATCCTTCTCACTCATCACAAAACTGGCAGGAGCATGAAGGTACGGATTTACTTTGGGTTTCGAACATAAAGCTTCAACGCTAGCTTTCGTGTTCAGCTGCAATTGGCCGTAAATGTGGGTTGGCATGATACATTGAAAATTGTTCAAATCTCAATGGTTTTCCTCGCAGGTGGGAATCGTCGTCTACGTCCAAGGGTACGAGCCATTTCATTGTTATGCAGTGGTAGAACTCTTACTTTTCTGACCCCTAGGTTATATGCCATTCGATTGTGGAAACGTGTGTATTTCGCGTGATGAATACTGGTAGTAGAAAACAAGGCTTAACTTATTATTAGTTGGGCGGCTTTTCCATAAATTTCTTCCATGGTTCGTGGTAAGTATGTTGCCGAAATAACTCAATCACCTGCGCATCCTTACCCTTGGACAGTTTCTCACTGTGGCAGCGTCGCTTGGTAATACAATCTCATTTCTCGTTTCGACTATTTTTCCTGATTGTACTACGCGCCTCCCAGGTGCTGGAATATGTAAGGCATCGCACTCTCACTCAGTCTCTTGCTCCGTTCACTGACATGAATGCTGCAGTCATGACCTACGACATGTAAACAACCCTTTACTACTGCATATACCACCGGAAGCTGAAGTTCGACAGTTTTATCACTCCGGGCTTTGCCTTCATTTCGAACATCAGGGTTCGTCTTTACCACACAACTCGTATAATGCTCAATATTCACACCAGAGATCGATATACACCATCTTCTCCACGATCGCTGCGACGGATTTCATCATAGCCCTGATGATGTGTTATTACCTACACAAGAGCAGGGAGGGTACGAAGTTCACTTCGTATGTTGTTTTCTTTGCGGGATGTGTGGTTCTGGTTGATATACAGGGTATTAGAACGGCAGGTGTGCTTCTCCGTCTTATGCGGCTCGTTCTTGTTTCGGGGTTGGCTACGAGGTCAGGGTACGTCTATTCTGTGTTGTTCGATGTTGATGAGATTGGTAGTGCATGCTCGCTGTCTGCTCTTATCGCGGTTTGTTGTTTCCCCCATGGCGTGATCTCTGAATCACGGGTGTTTATAGTACATCGCTTGGCCGAAAACTCTGATTTTCCTTGGGATAGACTTCGCCTTGCCTAAACGTCGGTAGGATCCATTTGGTCGCCGTGAAAATCGCTGACAAATACATATCTCATAGTCTATGTCAACTCGCTGCTTGCTATGTAAGTCATATTTTTCAGATGTGTACTGGAGCTTACCTTTGCTATTAGGTTTAATCACCGCCGTAAACATGTGTCGAACAAGGCGGTGGGAGTCAGACAACCGATTTCTACCGATCTCAGGATCGCGCCGCATAGTTCTGATGGTAATCCCGAAGAAATGGTATGTGCGAGTGCTAGTTATCGTCTCGATGACTTATTGTGTTTTCTCTTCAGAATATGGGGATTGCGCTCTCGGAGATCCGGGATTCGCCTTTGTTTGATGACCATTTTAAAGGGACTCTCGATTGCGAAGTTCAAGTGTGATTTTGTTTGTAAAATTATTGAATTAGAGATGAGGCCTGAGGTTCCAAGCTCTGGCGACTCTGCAGCCTCACATTTGTGGATATGATCCTTTCACGTTGGGGATGGGTTTTCCTGCGTAACGTTTCGAGTCTCTTCCACTTCTTGACTCGTAATTCATAGAGTCCATTTCAAACTGCCGTGATGCTTGGTCTTGATATATCCTGCTCGTTACACTGACTCAAACACCTCTGTTCTGAGCCAGTGTAATTACGGTCCAGGCCCGTGGGTCCTCGGGCCGTTGGTTGAAGCATAATCATTATAAATAGACCATCTATGTAAATGACCCAAACCTCGGGTCGCAAGAAGAAGACGGTTCGAGCAAGACGGGAGGGTGTGGGGGAATACGGACGATTTCATAGACCAGAACTGTGAAACGGAATCCATTTCGGGAATCTCGTCGGCTTTTTTGGCAATTGGTGAAGGATAGCTGAGTCGAGAGTTAAATGTGCGATTATCATCCTTCAAGTGACAACAGAGGGATTGACACTAGGCAGTTATGGTGATTATCCAGAGGGCACATAGCTTGGTTCAAGGAGCGAGGGAAGTGAAGTGTATTAGGATACGTAATATCAGTGATCTTGGGGTCGAGTAACTCTAATTATCCCAAGGACCTTGGTGAAAGGCTGCGGTCCTCTATCGCCACCTATTTTGGACGTTCCCGTCTTCACGAGAGATACAACAGTGATGTCGACATAGATTATAAGAAAAGGGCTACAAATTGGATGGTACGCGTACACGATTGACTTAGCACAGAAATGAGAGCTGATGTCTGGCCTTGGGAATTGTTTTCACATCCTTGGTGGTGGTTCATCGTTCAGGCAATAGTACGCCATTGCTGGGCGCAGGTGGCTGATGTTGTCTTCGTCAGTCTAAGCGAAATGGTGAAAAGGTAAAAAGGGATTATTTTCGGTGTTCATGTTTACATGAAAGATAGCAACAGCATGAGAAACAGGATGACCTTGAACCTTTACCTATAGGAGGCGCGTTGATTTCATGGACTTCCAGCATACCTTACCACGAGCACGACCTGGTCCCATAGTCCTGGGCGCGGTCCTACTTCTGTTTTTATGAGGCTTTAGCCATTAGATGATAGCGAACAGGAGAACGGGTACCTTATCCATTGACTCCACACACATATTCCAAATTTCAACGGCTTCCCGATGCCCGTAGTGACGTTATTCCTAATCGCGGTCAAGTTATAGATATCAGTGATGTGCAGTGTGTATCCTTGCATTGGATAGAGTAAAGTTAACAAGGACGCCATGTTTGAGGTTTACAAAGGTGCGCATTTCTTCCTGTCAGATGAATTGGCGTGGAGTCGAATTACGATAATCATGCTGGTGAACAAGAAAAATATTGGCCCCTGTAAATATTTTCACTATGAAGACTCCTCTGTTCAGTGAGATCAGCTTCGCCTATGCTGAAGAAAGATTCAGCGGAGCATACAATCCCGCTACGAAATGAACCGTTCACTCATTGCTACCGGGTTTCCTGAAAATGTTGTTCCTGAAGGCATTTGGCTCGCGACGCGGGAGTTCAATGAAATTCTACTGCTTTCAATCAGGGATCCTCTTCCGCACAGATGCTGGACGGTAGACCGGTGAAAATGAGAGATGAAGTTTGGACATCAAAAGCTGCGGCGACTTGGGCCGGGTCAATGTCCACTGTTCCACGGGTCTCTGTTGACCTCTTGTGGCACTTGACGCTCCTTTACCCAAGAGGAGTATTACTATCATAACAATCATTGCTTACTGGAAATGCAATCATTCTCATCTTGAGTATATTTCTTCTCAGTTGACCTTGATCTTATGTTCCATTTCCGACAGTTCACTGGTCGTTTCATGTTCCTCATCTACGAATA